ACCCTCGCAAGCAACCCGATTTTCCACGCACGCACCAAGCATATCGAGATTAAGTATCATGGGATCGTGAGCGTGTGATGGATGACACCAAAGAGTTAATCTACAAGCCGACCTCCGACATGCTTGCGGACGCTCTTACGAAAGCAGTGTCGAGAGCTAAACTCGACGCTTTCAAGATCGGCATTGGAATGCGCAGCAAGGGGGAGTGTTGAGGATGCTGCTGAAGTGAATGATTGCACTAACTTATGAGTTATGCTGACTGGCTCAGTTGAAAGGTTGCTATGTATTATCTTATTACACGGCTATACCTACTCGGCCCTGACTAAGATATTACATTGCTTCATTCCGCTGGGGTATTTTTTCGATTGATTTTAATTCTTGATTTTTCTTGTACGAGTCGCCATCCCGAAGTCCTTAGTTGTCAGTTGTCAATTCTTGATTTTTCTTGTACGATTCGCCCGAAGTCCGTATTGGCTGTTGTCGGTAATATTTAGCATGCAGACGACATTTCTTGCATATCTGGTACGATTACGATTTTGACCGCTGAGGGGCTCGAACCCGCACCACACAGAGTAAGGTCCAGAAGCACTGATCATTCGACCAAATGCCACCGGGTCAATGCTGACTGGCTCAAGTGTTCTATAATAGTGATGCTATACGGCAAGTTGTGAGTTCAATTCCCACTAGTGCGTGTTCAACCTTTATGGTTAAGACTGCATATGTCTGCATATTTTAAGTGTGTACCTATTTTAGGTTCGCGCAAAGGCTGAGTTAGAGTGTTCCACATACCTTAGGATGGGTTGGTAGCTTTAAACTTAGGTTAAGTATATTATGTGGCCCGTGGGCGTGGGCCCACACAATTGCGTCAAACATTAATACACTCACTTCTGCATTTGCACACACAAGCACATATCACTTCTACCTCTGCCCTTCTTATATCCTTTATCTTCATGCTGTCAGCAGCTGCGATATCAAGTCACGTTCGTTTGAGAGCTTGCATGTGTAATACAGCATTTTTGTTAAATTCAGACACATCAATTTCGCACGGCAGCAACAGTAAATGCACATAGACATTCGTCATGCTGTCAGCAGTTGCGATATCAAGTCATATTTATTTCAGCGCTTTCATACGAGCTACAGCGGGTTTGATCAGCTTGGGCGCATCAATTTTGCACGGCAGCTACTGAAAACGCACTAGGACGTTCTTCACGTTGTCAGCAGTTTCGATATCAAGTCACATTTGCTTTATCGCATCCAGACGTTATACAGCGTTTCTGATCGGTTTTGATACATCAATTTGACGTGGCGGTAGCCACAAACGCACATAGGCATTCATCATGCTGACAGCAGCTGCGATAACAAGTCACACTCGTTTTATTGCTTTCATACGTGCTACAGCGGTTTTGAACAATTCAAACGCATCAATTTCATTCGGCAGCAGCAGTAAACGCACTTGGACATTCGTCACATTGTCAGCAAAAGCGGTATAAAGTTACTTTCGTTTATCGCTTCCATACATGCTATTGCGTTTCTGATCAGCTTTGACACATCAATTTGTCGCGGCGGTAGCCATAAACGCACATAGGCATCCATCATTCTAACAGCAGCTGCGATAACAAGTCACACTCGTTTTATTGCTTTCATAGGTGCTAAAGTGTTTTTGACCAATTCAGACGCATTAATTTCATACGGCAGCAACGGTAAACGCACTTGGACATACGTCACATTGTCAGCAAATGCGATATCAAGTTCCATTCGTTTTATCGCTTCCAGATGTTTTACAGCGGTTTTATTCATTCAAACGCATCTATTTTGCATGGCAGCAACTGTAAACGCACCGAAACGTTCTCCATGCAGTCAGCAGCTTCGATATCAAGTTATATTCGTTTTATCGCATCCATACGTGCTAAAGTGTTTTTGACCAATTCAGACGCATCTTTTGTGCACGGCAGCAACTGTTCACGCACATAGACATTTGTCATGCTGTCAGCATATGAAGTCACATTCGTTATATGGCTTCGATACATGCTATAGCGTTTCTGATCAGCTTTGACACATCAAATTGTCGCGGCGGTAGCCATAAACGCACATAGACATTCGTCATGCTGATAGCAGCTGCG